ACGGGTTAGAGAGGTATGCAGGTATAAACTCTATAATTGCAAATATCTATTGTACAACTGCATTCCTTGTTTGGAAAAGCAGATGTAAGCTAGTTCATGGAGGTATAGATGATTCGGACAATGCTATAACAACTAACTCTGTGTCTATGGCTACGGTGAGCAACTTTATCAATCTTTTCCCAGACAACTGGGATGTCAACTAGTGAAAGCTATCTCCTTCTTGGCATCCTCCTCCACCAGGGTGGATAAAGATCAATGTTGATGCTTCACTTAAAAGTAATAACATAGCAGGGATTGGAGGCGTTTTAAGGGATGACAGAGGAAAATTTTTGATAGCATTTGGAGGCCAATATTTGCATTGGGATATAGCTCAAGTGGAGTTGATGGATGTTTATTATTTAAAGAATATTGTGTGGGATTGGATGTGTAAGGCTCAAGGTGTGATTATAGAAGGTGACAACTTTAATATTAACAAAATTCTTCAATTAGCTTTGAAGAATTGGAAGAATACTAGAATAATTGAAGAGAATTTGGCTTTTTTTACAAGATTTCAACCAAATCTTGTTTTCTTTATGCAGTAGAGTTTGTAACAAATTAGCAGATGTTTGTGCTAATCTGGCTTTAGAAAGGTCTTTTATTTGGAATGATCTTAGTGATGTAGAGATTCCTCCTTCTTTCCTATTTTGCTTGAAGGAGGAATGTGATTCTTTAGGATTTATTTGAGTAGGTTGTAATAAAGTTTTTATTTGATTTTTAATGCATAGTAGCATATCTCTTTAAGAAAAGAATTATTTTCATACTCAAACTATATAAGGAATATTCAATTCATTCATAAGAATAAAAGGAATATTTACTTATCATTTAATCATGAAATTATTTCATCTATTTTGTTTTTATCAAATATGTAAAGAACATTCAAATTACCCCTAAGGATAAAAAGAATATTCACTTATCTTTTGATTATAAAATTAAACCAATGTTTAAAGATTTGGTCCATGTCCACATAATTTTCACCTACCTTAGAAAGAAATAAAGATAAAGTTTATTTAACATTGGGCTCTAGACTCCCTAGAGAAGAAATCCTCTATAGTTAATTATATCTCCTAAGAGAATACTCTCGACTAAAGTGAAGACTAAGGATTTTTAAATACATGTAGATTTAAAGAAAGGATTGGGCTAATAAGATTTCAATTTATAGGCTTTAGATTATAAATTCTACAGTTGCATTTAGATTTTAAATTTAGATTTAGATTTTAAAATAAAATAATAGAATAGGAATATACAGAAACTAAGGTGTATACAATATGGACTTACATTTACCTAGAGTGATTTGCTAGCTAATAATCCTAAGCACAATTAATCGCCACACGAATACAAGATTAGATAGGCATTATCCTAGGAATTAAGAAATTATAGTTTAGAAAACTTTATAATCAAGAATTTATAATATGTATATGATCACCAAAGAAATGATGCATGAAATATAATGTAAAAAAATAACTTTTATTCATATATAATTTTAGAGTACAACCAAGGGTCTACTGTAAAAAAAGGTGGCCAAGCTCCACTAACAATAAGTTTAGATTTCTAGTCCTATTTAAAGTAGATTTGAATATGATTGTTTTTTTTTCTTTTTGGGTATTCAATCTTCTGAATGATGGATCTTCTATAGTATTTTAAAAGATAATGATCTTCAAAAGGAAAAGAATCATTACCTCTTCTTAGATGTGATTAACCATAAAGGCTTGCCTTTATGGGAAACTTGTAACTCCAAAATAAAATAAATCATATTTTATTTTCATAAGGTAGGCAAAAAAATATCTAGGAAAGTTGAGAAATTTTTTAAAATCATTTTTGTATTCAAATATACCTCTATAAAATGTCATGATATCCCTCCAAGGTGATATGATATTTTTTTTATTATATTTGCCTACACAAATGATGATTTTTTTAAACCTATTTTTGCATCTAAATACCTTTGTAGAATGTCACATTCACCTTTCAAGGTGATATAATATTCTCCCTGTTGTCCTTATTTGTAGAAAAAATAATTTTGTAAGAAACTCATTTTCATATTTAAATACTATTTTAGAATAGAAGGTTTGAGTGTCTAGGCATCGTGGAGTTGATGTAGAACTTCCTACTTTGTTGTCTTTTCATGAGATTTTTTTCCAAAATTTAAACTAAAATAAACATTTTAATAGGAATTTATGCACAAAATATTAAAATAATTTTTACTTAATAGGGGGGCAAATGACATTCTTAAAACTTTGAAATTCAAGAAACACTTATATAATTAATTTAAGCTTTCTTAAAATATAATGTTTATTGAAAATATTTGTCATCATAAAAAAGGGGAGTTTGTTGGATTCCCTGAGCTTGATGCATACTAGAGTTTTGATGAACACAAATATTATTGGCTATACTAATCAAAAGTCTAATTATATGTGCATGATATTACTTTATATACTAACATTGCAAGTTAAGGAAGGATAGCAGTACTTAGCATATAGGAGATGGAATTAGAATGAGGACCTAAGGAAGCTATAGAATAGAAAATAAGAAGACTATCAAAGATAAGAAGATCAAGAAGTAAAGTGTGGGTTAATTTGTATTTTTTTTCTTGAATCTTTTTGTACTTTAGGTATATAGTGGGTTGAATAGCCAAGGACACACATGAGTTTAAGTAAAAATAAACAACTCAAAAGTTAATTAAAATATTTGATTCTTTAGTTAATCATAAAGTATGATTCCAATCTTATTGTACGATAGATATGCCAATTTTATAAATTTTAATAAACATGTGGTATTAATTAACATAAATTTAAGATTTAATATTTGCATAACTAATATGCTATCGAGTCACATCGTACTTGATGATAAGTCATTTTAAATTAAAACTACCCATATTTTGATATTTACAAACAAAAAAAATAAATTTAAACTAATTATACTGCTAAACCTATTCATACAATACGTTTTCCCTTACTTACTTGTGATAAAATTATTTTTTTCAACAAAGAATCAGTTTATTTAATTCTTTAATATTATATTACTTCCTTTATGTGAGAGCACTTTAGGAAAATATCTTAGGAGATTCTTTATGTGGGAGACACTCATTTTAGTTGAGGAGGCTAGGGTTTGTATGCATCTCTACTATGTTGGGTGTAAAAGGTGGGAGGCTTCTCGGTAGAGAAGTGGTGTAGAGGGAATTCTTTGTTACCTTGTGAAGGAGAAGGGCTTCACCACCTTACGGGGAGAAGATGGAGATTGATAGTGGAATTCCCAAAGAGAGGACTTCAGGAGGGAAAGTTGATCAAGTTAATCAAACCACTATAGAAATTCAGCTTGCATTTTCTTTCTAGTTCTTTTGCTTTGTTACTTTTAGTTTATTTCAATCTCATTACTTGCTTTGCTTTGGTTGATTTTTTGTTTATTAGCATTTATTTTTTAAATAAAAAATATATATTTTCTCTTACTTTCTTGTCATAAAATTATTTTTGTAAACAAAAAATCATTTTTATTTGATTCCTTATAATTATACAGACTTCCATTGGTATTAAAATGCATTAACTAACCCCCTTGTCTTCATGTGTGCCTAAAAGTTTTTTAGGGAGGTGGCTTAGCTTTGATGATTTCCCTAGAGAAAGCATCAGCAAGTTTAGGCTCGCCCCTTCTAACTAGCATAGTCAATAAGTTTTAGTCCTCTTCTCTCGTTAATGTGCGAGTTGGTTCTTATATAGGTGTGAAATGACGTTCTCAACTATCTGGTCTCTTATGGTGAACTGTTAAGTTAGAAGAACCCTTAAGGGGGTTGTCCCCTTCGTAGACATTCTTAGAGCTCACCAAAGGCATCTTGAATCATCCTCAATATCCTTTCTTTCATTTCCATCAAGTCATGGTGAGTTTGTAGTCATTATTCTCTATGTTCATATAAGGTTCTTATAGATTCAGCTCGTTGAGTAGGGCTTATTTTCTCGTCATTGGCATCAATCCATGCTTATCACACCTAAGAGGATGTTGGATCCAAATGTTTTCGTGGGTGACACCCAACCTTAGTGGCAAGCTTACTATGGGGGTGGATGACCTGGGAATCTATGAGTGAATGTAGATAAGAGGGGAGAGGAGAAAAAACCAGAGAGAAAAAAAACTTGAGTGAATTTGTTGAGAACTCAAGAAAGCATTGAATTCCAGAGTAGCATAAAATTCACGAAAATCAATCTAAAGCTTAGGTAAAGTTCCAAAGGGCCTAGTAGGCGAGTAGGCTTGGTGGAGTTTGTGGGGTGAGTGCTGAGATGAGGGGACATGCAACTAGCAGGCTAGCTACTTTTGCCATTGACTTGTGTGAGAGATCCTCAAATGCCTGAGAGGAGAGATGTGAGTAAGATGTTATCGTTGGAAGGGAGAGGCTTCAAGTTGGACGATTGTGATAAGACAAACTGAGGGTCTCGTGAATATGTGACTTCATGTATTAGAGCTTTGGGGGGGGGGGGGGGGGGGGTGGCGGGGTGTTGTTCTTGAATGAGAACTGATCCACTCTAAGAAAGAGCAAGTGGCTAAGATGGTGGTCCAAGTACACAACCGTGTTACTTACTTGACAATAAATCTCCAGTTCACCCTGTAAGAGGTGAGGTCCTTGGTAGGCATGGAAGAGTAGAACTTGTTGATCATGTAGTGCGAGTTTTCCTAATGTGATGCCTCTTCAATTGTTAGATGTGATCTTGCTATGGACTTCCGTTGAGGGCAAAGTCCTATTATGACTTGTAAGATATCTGCTAAATACTTATGAAAATATATGTGAATATTCATACATAAATATATAAATATACTATGTATTTAATCAAGCTTATTTCAAAGAAGTTATTATTAAAATTTAATAATTATTTAATTTATTTTAAATTTCGAACAAAATTAACTCGTACTTTTTTCTCATATATATATATTTGCTGTTAAAATTTCAATGAATAAAACATTAATCGCTTCTTAACGAAGCTTAGTTGTTTTAAAGGCAATCGACCAAAACCAGACCTTCGGCTATCTTTCACATCGCCTTATCGCTTCCTGACCGCAACCGCGGGCCTCTCCCTGGAGTTCATGGCTCTGCTGCTCCCGTCAAGGCTGCAGCAGGCACTTAACTTTAGCGGTGCCGTCGTGACTCGGAGGGCTAGTAGGTTTCGCTGCTCGGCAATCGCTGTAGACGCTTCCTCCCGTCTTGCTGGTGGAGTCTCGGGGATTCGATGGGGGTCGAGCACCCTCCAGGGCCCCCGTTCTGAGATGGAGGATGTCGTCGTCCTCCGATCCGACGGCCTTTCTGGCTTTACCTTCGCCACTGTCTTTGATGGCCACGCCGGCATCTCTTCTGTCGAGTTTCTTAGGTTGGAGAAAAATTCTTCTATAATCTTTTTTGGAGATTAGTTTCCCATGGACACTTCTTCAAATACTTGTAATGAGTACGTTTATGAAGAATCTGGCATTTTGGCGTCTATCTAAAACAATTGGTATCTCAAAGACAGTTGTTTGCAGATGTGACCAATTAATTAAAAAGTAGAAAATATTTTACATCTAGGGTTGTTTGAGCTCTTTAGTTTATGGACTCTTTTACATCTCACCAATATAAACTATGTAATCTTTGAAAAAAAAATTCGTTCAAGACATCCTCATTCACATTAAAAGCTTGCTCATAACGGAATAGAGCTCTTAATGCTTTAGAATATAGTTTTGAAGTTTTTTTTTTTTTTTCAAGACAGCCCTCTTAATTTTGCAACACTAGCAATCTAGACAGTCAAAAGAAAAGTTGTCTTTTAAATTGTCTAAACTATCTTACAAATCATTGACATATTTATGTAAAAAATTCAGAACCGTTTAAGATTCTGAGCATTTTTTTTTGCAATAAAAGCAATTTTATTGGCCTAATCGTGACTTTTATTTATACGTGTTCAAGTTACCAATGGAAATAACAAAAAATCATTAACATTATGCTTTATAATTTTTTATATCTTGTTCGGCTTAGATTATTTGTTGTTATTGCAGGGATGAACTATACAAGGAATGTATGAATGAATTGCGAGGGGGATTATTGTTAGGCAGCAAGGATTTTCATGCTATAAAGGATGCACTTACCAACGCTTTTGAAAATGCTGATGGTAGACTCCTGACTTGGTGAGTGATTATTTATGGGGCTAGAAGCCATTTTAATTTGAGCCATATTCATTATTTTTTTCTTGTTTATTTTTATTTTCTTCTTGAAGGCTTGAACAGATTCAGAATGAAGATGAATCTGGTGCAACAGCTACAGTTATGTTTGTTGGGAATGATGTCTTGATTATTTCGCATGTCGGAGACTCATGTGTGGTATTTTCCTTCTAGTTTTGTTTATGCTAGGCAGTCTTCATATTTACAAAAAGTTTCTTGATTTATTATTTTTTTATGTTTATTGGAACTTGTGTCCTATGTATTGGTATTAGTCTACTCATGCCATTCATGACTAACAACATCTATTATGTGCGAAGTTCCTTGAGCATTTGTCAGATTAATGTTTTTGGGTACCTATGACATGCGAGGTTTATCTCAACCTTATATGTGCACAAAGTACACGTAGGGGCTAGTATTGATTTTGGGGTGACGACTCCTGTCGTGGAGTTCGCGCTGACTTTGCCTTTGGTCGAGCCTATTATTGGCCGTGACTTGGTTCATAAGGAGGCCGAATAGCTGAGGGTAAAAGTTGAAGGTGAGAGGAATTCTTTTTCAATCCTCTAAGGAGTCATGTCTGGAGATCGAGAGTTGTTTGCCTTACATAAGGCTAGTGTCCATTTAACCTTGAGCAAGTTCTTTGGTCACATGTCGAGCGAGTTCGAGGTGTTGGTGTCGACTTAGTGGGCACCTAGGTTATACACAAGGATTGTAAACTTGCATTACACACTTCTAGAGATATTGTTGAGTCTTTTGGACAATGAATTCCCTCCTCCTGATTCTTCCCTCTATTCCTTAGGGGCTACCACTGTGGGCTAGAGCATGCCTCCGGCTACAAAAACTTGGTTTGTGACCAAGGATGTGGAGATCTTGAAGGGAAAGCATGCTAAGGAGTTGGTTTTGCATACTCATCTTAAGAATTGCTTATTTCCCCTCTTGCGATGTCCATGATGATTCTAAACACTCCTCCCTCAACTGGTGACTTAGTTGTTGAAACCCCCATCAAGGGGTACACACGCTCAGTGCACTTGTTGAGCAAGTTAGCTAGATGGAGAAGATGCTTGACATCACCCTTCACCCTACCCCAATCTGAGGGAACACTTGAAGTCCCGGTGAAGGTGAGCGATGACGTATCCCTACTTCATGGGGAGATGTTGGCGTTAATGCCGGTGGTGATGTGACTCATTAGGATGAGGGTGAATCAATTCATAGGTGTTGGCATTTCATCCTACGATAGTTAGGAAAGGGAGGAATGGTGCCTCTCAAGTTATTATTTGACCCTATGTATAGGATATTTTTTGGGGACGAATAGGCTTGCCCCATTATGTAAATTAAAATTGTTATGTAAGTTTTTTTTAAGTAAAATACTTTTGTTTCATGCATACTCTTGTGACAAGCTTGTATGATTTTCTTGTTTAGCTTCCCCTGGCGATAGTATTGTCTTGCATATGGTGAGTATTTTGCTTTATTCTTTACGGTTTTTGTTGAATGGCAAGTCAATACCTTAGGTTTGGTCTTCACTCATTGTTGAGCGAGTCAATAATGACTTGTAATGAGGTGAGTCAAGGTAGACTCTATGTGCGGTGTCAAGGATGTATTTTAGTGAAGCGAGTAGAGGTCGACTATTAGTGAAATGAGTTGAGGGAGGCTCTCTAGCTTTCTTGATTAGTTCGATGTCTACTTTTTCCCATGAGGGCGACCCCCATGTATAACAAATGAAGAAAAAGATATCGAACCTTTTCGATGAAAATTTAGGCAAAATCTATAGCTTTAATGAGATATGTGACTAAAGCCTTAAAATCTAAGTTACTACCCTTTTATAAATACCCTCTCACCTAGAAAGTAGTAGCAATGTAACACCATTCTTGTGTTTTGCACTTGACGCTTTCTCTTCTTCTCTTCTCATCTTGCACTGGCACGTGCTTTCCCTTTTGAGATTGCAACTTTGAAGAAATGTCATAAGGCCTTCATTGAGTCTTTGAGTCAAAGTTCAATCATGTCTCGATGGTGACTAAGAGGTGCTAAATTTCATGGGCCTAAAAGCTTATTTGAGATTTTGATAATCATAAATACTAATTGTTTCGTAGATGCTTGACTAATAATTTTATACGTGCAGGCTTTCTGTCCATGCTAACAATCATATGTATACATTAGAAGAAGGCTGATACGAGATTGGACATAAATATATTAACATATGATGAAGAAGTTGCACTCAATCTTAGCTCAGAATCTGAAACTATCAAGACAAAAGAAGACTGTCAAAGAATATCAAATTTGTAATTTTATTTTGAGCCATCGTTTTTGTACGTGTCAGACACATAATTGATGAAACAACCAAGCATACACACATGAGAGTATAATTAAAATAAAATAATTTTAAGAAAATGCTTTAAAATAGTTAACCAATCCAACTTAGTCTTTGAAAGTCATACTATATAATGATATGATCATACTATATGGTGTACATGGCATTTTTGTTTTTTTGTAAGATCAAGTTATATCTATTCCTTGAACCTTCAATATTGAAAACTATGAACTAATTATACTGTATGATGCCGTCATATGCTCTTTACCTTAATTAGGGAAATTAAAAAATTAAATTAACTTTACTATATGATACTCAACGTACTATATAATGCTTAAGAAATAAAACTTAATTAAATTAACTTAATTAATGCTTAAAAATTAAATTAATTCTCGATTGAATAAATCATAGTGTATAACCTGATTGGACAATATGATTAAATTAAGATAATTTTTCGCAGAAATCACCTTAATTAACTAATCATATTGTATGGCGAGGTTGGAAAATTTTAATACAATTATTTAGGATTTTTAATCGAAGGCACATAATTTAAATATCTTATGCAAGCAAAAATTTGGAAAAGCTCTAAATTTTTGCGAGCAAAAAGAAACACTTCCTAGTTCACCAAAAAGATACAAAGACACTCTTGAAATAACAAAAAAACAACAATTTTATAACATAGTATGACACTTACAAACTTTGACGCTTACACAAAATAAAGACACCTAAAGGAGCTTGCATTCGTCGAGAAGAAAGATACAGGTGGGGTGGACACTTGCGGAGAGAAGAACGAAATAAGAAGTCCGAGACGAAGGAGGAGAAGATCGCAAGCTTTCCTAGAAGAAGAGATGAATAAAATAAGCTCGCAAGCTTTTCCACGATGAAACCAGCAGGTTTAGGCTCCAAAAATCACATCATAATACTCTCTTTTTTATGCCTTAAGACACCTTATATTTATAGGAGAAAAGGGGAAGCCAAACAGCCAAAACAGCCACCCATACTAACCAATCAAAAAATAGGAAACAGAAGACCAAAAGCCACTGCAGGACAGCGCCCAACAGTCACATAACTCTCTAAAAACTCTCTTAACTTCTATTATATATAGGGGAAAAGGCAGCCAAACAGTCCTCTTAAAACCATTAATTAAGCCAATTAAAATAGGGTAATTTGGAAGGCTAGTGGCTGTCCAGAAATAGCCCATAAACAACTCCCAAACAACCAGCTAAAGGCCACAATTAATCCCATAATAGCACCTGAAAAGACAGCACAAGAATCGGGTAAAACATCCATGGGAAAACAACCATGGAAGAAATCGAAAAAATAGCAGCTGGGGAACCGGAACAGTAGCACAAATAACGGGGAAAAGCAATCAAAGGGAATGTGATCATCTTGGCAATTGTACCTAGTTTTTATTTGATTTAATGCAATATGCAGTTCCTCAAAGAGAAGTCTCTGAAGTCCTAACTCAGGCTTTTGAAGGGCAATGGCAAGTGAGTGGTCACTTCCTCGGAGAGTGAGTCTGAGTAGAGTGGCAACAAAGAGTGTGTGAGCTCGAAGGAGAGACCACTAATGCCTCTCACATCTATGAGGAGGAAAAACAAGTCTTCTATCCCTTATGGATGATTTTTGACATGGGAAAGGTGGCATCTCGGTTTTCGTGGAGAAGGATATGCAAGCGATTCCTGAGGATGAGCTCATTTTTTGTCACAATGAACTTATTTGCTTGTAGACTATTTTTTCCATGGCTCATAACCATCGGGAGGCAATGAGGACACTTATTAACGTACTGGAGGAGATAAGGAAGGTGAATGCTTCCTTCTATGATAAGTTCATTGCGTGGCAGGCAGCTGAGACGCTATTGGAGTCCCTGACGGCTGAGCTGGCAAGTGTGAAGGTGGCTCACCAAGTGGTTGAGTTGGCGATGAAGTAACATATTAAAGAGCTTGCTTGACAAGAAACTCAATTCAAAGCTGTTTGGCAATGAAGTAACATATTATAAAATAAATGGGTGTCCTTCACTTCTCCAAAACACTAGGAGTTCCTTAGTAGGAAATACTGTTATGATGATGTATGACGGTGGTGTATTTTTCCTTTAAGTCTTGAGTTTGGCTTCTCTATAAATGACCAAGGTGGACATGGAACATCCTAGAGCTCGCTCTCTTGTAGCTAAGAAACCGTTGAGTTTTAACTCGGCTATCCTTGAGAACTTATTATTATTCATATTAGTCAAAATAAATATGAAGCTTATTGAAGATGCTAATATCTATTTGAATGAGGCTAAGCATTTGACTCAACTAACCTGAACTTGGCAAGTTTTGACTTGGCTAATTTTATTGAACAAATCAACAACAACAACAACAACACAAGCCTTTATCCCACTACATGGGGTCAGCTACATGAATCCTTTTTTTTCCATTGTGTCCGATTAAGAGTCAAATTCTCATTTAGATCTAATAAATAAAGGTCATTTCTAATTTTTTATAACAAAGTTTTTTTAGGTTTACCTCTACCTTTCTTAGCATATGTTAAATCTAATACATCTATTATCCTAACAGGTTCATCAAAAGGCCGCTGTTTTATGTGACCAAACCATCTAAGATGACTTTCTCTAATCTTATCTATCACTGGAGCTATTCCAACCTTTTCATGTATATGGTCATTTCGTATCCTGTCTCTAAGAGTAAAGCCACTCATCCACTTGAGCATCCTCATCTCTGCAACACTTAACTTAATATTATGCTTATCTTTTATTGGCCAATGTTCTGCGCCATAAAGCATTACAGGTCTAACCACCATCTTATAAAATTTTTTCATAAGTTTGAGTGATACTTTTCTATCACACAACAAGCCCGATGCA